GGCTACGTTCAAATTGTGTCCACCTCAATTCCTGGCAGTTTGCTTCCTGCTGCTGCACTGGCAAGTGTCAGTGGATTCCGCATTTAGTGAGACACACTGTATGAGACCGCTGACAAGATGATGGAATAATGCGCCTGATAATTGCTACAATACATACACTCCATGTACAGCAGGTTTGGGTGGTTGATAATGACCCATTATCACTCCAAATGAGGATTTGTCTGAGAAATAAACGAATAATAACAGAACACAAGTGAAAGGAAACAATGAAGAATTGGGAAGCAAGAATCTTATCTCCTTTTCGGTCCTCAAACATTAATACTCTACTGTTTTTTCTTAAAAAATATATATATAAAGGCCAAAGAGCTGATTACTTATCAAAAGTATTATGAATCTTGTACTTCTTTCTGGGTATGTTGCATTAAAAGAGTGAAGACTAGTCTCATATATAATAATATATTTAAAATTAAAAATACAACACAATTTAATGAAAAAACAATGATATATACATTGAGTCAAAAGTATGCTTACAAACTGTGTGTGTATTCCTCGATCAAAATTTGGAAAAAATGTTTTTATGAACATGTGGCGTCAAAAGCTTATTTTTCAAAATAATAGCCAAAAATAAGTCTCAGTGAATGCCTTTAAAGCCAAGTATAAGGACAAGGATGTTACTTTGTAGCAGATGCTCAGAAGTTGCTCCACCATTCTCTACACATGCCCGAGCACGATGCACACAACAGGGTTTCCTCAAAACTTCAGGCATGCATTATGCCAGTACAATCACATACTTTGTAAACATACTTTTGACTCACTCTGTATACATATATATATATGAAAAGGCTAAATAGCTGATTACTCACAGAGATTTAAGAAACATGTACTTCTGGGTATTTGGCATTAAAGAGTAAACACGAGTCTTCTCTAACTATATCTTTGAAAATAAAAATTCAACACAATTAAATATAACGAAGTAACTAACTATATGATTTGGGAACCCAAAGGTTCATCATTGAATAAAACAAAGACCTTGACCAGACCCTGTCCTGAGCCAACTAATCCAAACTCCTTCAGCTCGTATCTCCCACACATCCCAACTAACAATATACTCCCATGTATATCTAGGTCTCCGAGCGCTCTTCCCCTCAGGCTTCTTCATCTGATGCTCTGGAAGAGATCCAACACTGATGATTTCTTCTCCTGAAACAAGAGATGAAAATCACATGAAACATTTTTATTAATGTCCACAAATGTAACCTTAAAAAGATGTTGACATTACAAGATACAAGTTTCCCCCTCCCAATGAATGAGTTAAACATCTTACCTTCTGTGAACGATCTCTATCAAATACTTTCCAGAAGTGCAGTGTCTCATCCCCAGCCCCAGTTACGATGTCTTCTCCATCTGGAGACACAGCAACATAAGGCACTGCAGATGAATGGCCAGTGAGACTTGCTACCTGGGACATGCGGGGATATCTCCAAATACGTATATGGTTCTTCAACGTATCGTGGGTGCTAACCTACAACAAAAAATTAAATTTCCACAAGAAATGGAATTAAAAGTAACAATCTGGAATAACATCCATACCAAATTCCATGAAAATTTGTCAGCCATTCTCATTTAACAGGTAATGATGCGAACAATGACACAGCCAATGACATCATCAGTTAATGCACAGGATAATGGATATTGGCGTCACTGTAGATCGTAATCCAGATACCTCACAACTTGTACCATGTCATGTTGGTATTACAGATTGCAGAGTACAATTATTGAGTACTTTACATGCCAAATGTCTAGAGTTGTAAGTGTATGGAAGTACAAAGAAAACTTATCAGGTCCTCTACACGGACTCAAACATGCCTAGACAACACGTATTGGTACATCGCACGCACCAAAGGTATTCTAGGAAAAGGAAAATACAGCTCATCATTTAAATGTTTCTGGTTCACAATGTCTCCAGGGATGATCTTTTCAGGCCTCTGCCAACTCTGGGCAAGTCTAGAATCTCCTGTTCACAACAGAGCAGATTCCATTACCCCAAACAAAACGGCGATTACTAAGACGGGCCCTAAAGTTTACTGAGTGCTCTGAATCACCGTGGGGGGTACGGTATACTCCATTTCCCAAGAATTTATTTTTGGAAAATGTGAAGACATCAGTTCATAAGCAAAATCTGGGAGATGTGGATGATTGAAAACCCTGTTAATTCCTCTGTAAACGACAAGTATTAACCTAATGAAAACTTATTCGATGTAAAGCTGGCCCTTTTACACTGCCAACATAGGGTGAAGGTAAGGAACCGTCCCAAGTGGAGACGACTTCGCAGTTATAATTTTATGGTTGCATTAAGTGCAATCTTCACCAAAGAACAAATGTACAGATTTTATAAATTATGTCTGAAGCAAATGGAATTTCAAAATTATTTTTGCCTATCTTAAGGTGATCACAATATATATTTCGATTTAATCTTCTATTTTACAAATACTTAACCGTCCACAAAAAAATTAAAAATACAATTCTTACTTCTATCAACAATATCGTTCCATGTACAAATTGCAGATCACATCGACATGCAAGGAACTTACCAGTTCAGAGGAATGTTTAGACCAGATAAGATTACAGACTTGAGATCCAGTGTCCACAAACTGCTTTGGTTGTCCTGTGAGTGTGTTCCAGAAACGAATACACCGATCAGCTCCACCGCTAGCCAAGAGTCCACGTTGTTGCGGGGACCAGGCAATAGCTGTAAAGTAAAATTTATTTGAGTATATTACTACATTGTGTGCACATGATCATCAGCATGGTACAAGATTCCGCATAAAATATTAACATAAACAAAGAGAACAGAGAAGGCAACTACGAGAAACATGAAGAAATTTACTTTGCAAATTATGAATGCTGCACAGAACAGTGAAATCAATGGCATCCAAAGAATATGAGCACCATCTTGGAGAAACTATGAACTTGTATCAGTTATATTACGCTCTTCTCAATTTTCCGTTCCAGCACTCAATTATGAATCATGTGAAGCAGCAAATACTATATACAGTACAGGGGAAAAGAAATGCATTTTCATATTTTTTGTGTGTGTGTGTGTAGAGATGATCTGGAGTATTTCAATTTATGCTAAGGGCATGGTATGATGGCATTCCACAAAATTTGCTCCTATTCATTTTCAATCAACCCCTTCCACAATCAATATCGTTTTGAAAACATGAACCAAAACATAACATTCTTGTTATTTCACATTAGGAATATATCCACAAAAATGTGATGTAAGGGCAATGATTGGAACCGATTCTTCCAGCACTTATGGTTTTAAGTGCATCATTTTCTTGCAGCAAAGCCTGCAAAAACATCAATATAATAACAATATTTACTCACTTCATAGAATCTCATTTTAATCTGTCACAAATGTGGATGATAAACACAATGATTCCTACCTTTCACTGCTGCCAAATGCTGCGTGTAAGTCTGGACAGGTGAGTCTGAATGGAGATTCCAAATACTGAGACGACTGTCACTGCCACCGGATGCCAGGCTCTGCTTGTCTGGAGACCACTTCAAGCCGCAAACCTTTATTTATAGTAATTGAAATTGATGACAATAATTTTAAAACATACTTTTCAGCAATAATTATAATAACAATATTTGATGTGAGGTTCTGACGTGGTGAAGATGTTGATGCTGTTCTTCTGGGTCGTGATGCGATGCGGAGATGAAATGTCTTTATCTTCAGAGCTGAAGATGGAGACTGTATGTATCTATGTCAGTCCACATGGTTTAACAATCCAGAAAAATATGACAACTGTTTTGCACCAATAACAAAATTAATAACACTTAAATGATTTCCTACTTACCTCCTGTCGATGGCCAACCAACCTTCTCTCTGGAACAACACTAGGAGTTCTCACATCACATTGCAAGATAAGTCCGTCCCGGCTTCCTGACGACACAACATCACCATTCCAAGCAAGCGATCCAACTCTGTCTGGATGGCTCAGCAGCTCATTCACTTGGGAATTTAACTTGGGAATTTACGGCAACGTCCCAGACTTGCACGTAGCCATGATATGTGCCAATTACCAAGAAATTTTCCTACAAATACAAAACACCAGGTCATAAAGGTGTCCAATAATAAGAATCAGTCCTAAATTATGTCACAGGTGATTTCATGTGTTATCTGTTCGGTAACATTTCCAGGTCAGAATATGCAAATTCTTACCTATTATCTACACCTGCTGCAGAATATGGCAATAATATTTCATTTATACAAAATTATGACATCACAGTACATCAGAATACAGACAAATACATTTTTCTTTGCAAGTCTTCATGGATGGAGTAGCCTATATGAATAACGCCCTCGTAACTGGCCCCATCACATACCCACCTTGAATGTGTGTTACTGTAAAGTTTGCAAAAATTACTGTTAACACTAAACAACTGACATGGCTCTCACCCACCAGCCAAAGTTATTCAGACAAATGCACGTATCCTGAAATAAATATGGCTACCTCGGCACAAAAATCTCTATAAGACAAACTACTAAAATTTTGGGCTTGGTCTCCCTCACTTGGCAGACAGTGGACATAATTCTTCTCCACCTTCCTCCAGAAGGATTACAACAAGAAATCCAAATTCTTCAGATTTCTCTTAATGCACACAACAGCAAACTTCAGAAATAACAAGGTGTTTCCCTTGTCATGGACACAAAAACAAAAGATGAAAAGCAGAAAGCACCCACAGAAATGGGGTTAGCATTTGACACTGATTTGAGATGGGTACAACGAAATATTGGCCACCCGCTCTCCAATAAACAAATGTGTCAATTGTAAACCAACAATTACGTCACATAGTATTCTAGTGACGAGTCACCATTGGCTGCATCAACTTTACGCACTGCATGATAATTTTCCTATACAATCAATAATGTATTTATGCACAACAAATACTTTAAGATTAACAACAATCACAGCAACAACCAAATTCAAGATTTCTGTCTTCCGGGTTGTTGCGCCGTGTAGTATGGTCGATGTTTACCAACGTTTCTGCGGGCGTACTGCCTCCGTCATCAGGGCGATGAATACTACACAGCGCAACAACCCAGAAGACAGAAATCTTCACACTCACCACTGTGAAAACCTCAAATCTTACAATAAAATTCAAATTTAACAGAAATACTTTTCAACAACCTGAGTAAAAATAGTCTGGCCAATACTTACCTGTTCATTCCATGCAACTGAAGTTACAGAGGTGCCATCTCCAGATAAATCACACAGTCTTCCAACCTGATTAGTGCTTGCACAAAAAAGATATACGCAACTTCCTAATCCCACGCTTAACACATTCTCTGAAGACCAGTCAATAAGATTGAGGTAGAAGTTATCTTGGAGATCAGGGGCATCCAACGTCTTCAAGAGAAAAGACATAAAATTCAATAAATCAGGACAAATAATGAAGTACAGCACATGAAACGCTCAATCCTTAACATAAAAAAGAAGGTCATTATAACTATTTCATAATAAACACTCTATCACTGTCTCGTGGCTTGTGTTGGCAGAACAGCTGATCACAAAGTCACAACAGCCACGTCAGCCAAATAAGACTTCATCAGAGACCGGGGGAGAATCAGACACTGATACGGGATGTGAAGTGAGCACAGACACTTCATTTGTGGATTTTCAAAGATTAAAACTAATACAAAATATGACTAACCTTGTAGGGTACTGGTGATATTTTCCTCCTTGACCTTCTCGGTGCACTAAGCAACTTATGGCTTTGTGCACTAAGTGGTGACAAGGAAAAGACATTTGATCCTAGAATGGGCGCTCTTCTCTCATCACATGGGTCTCTAAGATCTTGAATGTTGGCCCCAAGAAGTTCGTTTTTCAGCAAACATGCGTATGCCAATCTCCCAATCTCTCCGTCACCATTTTCACAAGCCTCTTTCGTAGTAAATCCATTCTGGCCAGACTCCTACATTAAAAAACAGACACAAATTGCATTGACATTTCTACAACTTGCTTACCTTAAGAGAAATTCATAAAGCTTATAGACAATTGGGAATTGACAAAAGACCTGATGGGAAGTGAGCTATACAAATACATCACAAACAGCAGTTTTAAATGGCGGTATGATACACTCACTCCATGTGCAAAGAGAGAAAAAGTAAATTAATTAGAGGGACATACAACACTGCTTATGTCCCCAATTTAATAATCTGATAACATTTTTGTACAGTGCAATTGTAGTCAATTAACAAGAAAACAATTGTTTTGTGGATAAAGGTTCATTTACATATCTGATAAAGTACTGTCATGAATATAAATTGATCTCATCCTCAGCACAGCATACTCACTTCATCTATCCACTACTTTTAAAAAGTCACAAAAATCATAACTCAATCAGAAACACTTACTTTGTCTATCTGAAACTTCATCCGCCATCTGTCGCCATAGCGCGGCCGAATAAACCGATCGAATGCCTGCAAGTAGGGAAAAGATGTCAGTTAAAAATCTAACAATTCCTCTGAACTAACTAAGAGAACAATATACACTAGGAAGATAACTGTCTTCTGGGGCACTGTGCCAAGTAGCATCGCGGAAGTCCACAGACGTTTCAGAGGTGCTTGCTGCCTTCATCATCAGAGCAAACTTTGAACACGTGCTTGCTGCCTTCATCATCAGAGCATACTTTGAACAGACTACGTGGTGCAACATCCAGAGGACACTAATTTCCTTACCTGTTGCCACGAGAACCCGAAATGTCACCAGTATATAAATATGTAACACACTTTTAATTCAGAGAAAAATTCTTATACTCAACTGCACACTTCATGTTTTAGAAACCACAATGCAAGCAAAATCTAGAACCGTCCTCAGTTCATACACCAGAGACACACAAGACTACAGTCAAAATGCCTTCATCACCACTAAGCAGTACAATAACGAACAAAGCTTTCAGAACGGCAAAGCAAATTTACACTTGGGTTGTGAATGAACCCATTCCGTGCTGCTGCAGACTTCGAAGTTGACATGCAGAAATTGTTTGCGATGGTGATACGTAGATGAAAGGATAACATCAGGCATGATCCATGGGACACAGGAGATGAAGACGATTGGATTTTCATGGCCAACGACAGGGACAGGTGATGAATAGTGTTCCCAAAACCATCAAGTAAGTAAGTTAATAAGACTGTTGATTCATCAGCATATATGCAAAACAAAACATGCAGCCTCACCTAAGAATAAGTAAGGAGAAATCACACAAATCACGGATATAATATAAAACGGGAAACTCAAAGCACTTTTCTGTGCATCTATAATTGTAAAATGCTAACTCCTCCAATTTCATCCTTTCCTCTCCCTTAAACAACCACACGTGTGCATGCACATGCCACTCTGCCATGCTTACAAAGTCCAACATTTTATCTTACCCATGAATCTTAATGACCACCGACCAACATCATGTGGGACTGAATGTCATCATGGCACAAAGTAACAGAAATGCACGAAATTAATATTGTCTAAAAGTGCTATCTTCAAGCGGTCACCTGCAATAATAAACATATGAAAGGGAAATCTTCACACACAGAGAAATTATTCATTATTTATTTCCAGTTTACTTGAAGACACTTTCAGTAGCTCAAACTATACAGCATCAAATGCTACAATGGTTTCTGAAGAGGAAGGGACATGGAAAGAAGTGGTCACAGCTTACTTCAAATACTATCCTGACATTCTCCCAGAGACTGAACACAACCATGAAAAACTTCAAGATTTGAACTCACAACTTCCCAAAGACAGCGGTAACTACTTAACAGCGACATTAAGTAAAGAAATTATACATTCAACGACAGGTTATAATTTAATAACAGTTGAGCACGTGGAAACCAACAGTCACACTAATTTTCAGCGGGTATACATTACAATCACTCAAGTTGAATTTTCCACCTTAATGTAAAGAAAATGAACCACGTGTCTTTATTTGGCCCAGCTCACTCCTCACACCTCTGACATTCGGCGTGAAACAGATCGTGCCCATCAGAGGGTTTCGCTGGATAAATAACAAATTACACTGATCCTATCACGGTAAGCTCACGGCCTGAAGATACACTTCTCAAGAGAACAGATGTCTGGGTTACATATTCTGATTGTTCTGAATTCTGTCTGCCTAAGCAACAAAGTGCAAGTCTCTCCACAAGGATCAACCATAATATTTAATGTGAAAGTAAATGATGAGCTCCACGTAAACAACGCAAGTGGTCACATTTGCAATCCTTCTTCCTTTAGGTAGGACTGAGGTACTCACAACAGCGGATGTGAAGAGGGCTGTTTTCTGGGTTGTGAAACTGTGTGGTCTGGTAGAAGTTTACCTGTATTTCAGATGTACTTGCTGTCTTCATCATCAATCAGCGTGACTTATAGCCATCATGATTGGAGGCAGCTAGTAACTCTGAAATGTCAGTATACTTCAACCAGACTACATGGCACGTGAACACTGAAATGAGCCATCTAATTACATCCTTTCAATAAAAGACTTGGTTTCGTTCTGGAGGTGTTTGCACACGTTGATAACACAAAACTGAAATATGTCCACTGGGATTTGTCATCAGCGACTGTCTACACAGTATCTTTAAGTTTACAAAATCAGAAATGAACTCCACTTACCATTCTAGTACAAGTCAAGTTGGCAGGAGTAACCTACAAAAGAAGGATTTGTAATTAGTCAAGCATTTTAACATCAATCACCTTCTTAACTGACACATACACACAAATTAGTTGAGGCTCAAAGGGACAAATCATCTTATAAAAGTGGGAAAGGAGAGTAACAATGAATAAAAGTTACAACTACTGAAATAATAGAAATATTTAGAAGTTACAACAGCTATTATTGTAATAGAAAGTAGGAAAAATTAAATATCTGCTGTTGTGAAAGGTTATGTCACAACACACAACACAGCTCACCCTCTTTTCTATGGTACTAAGGAGTATTGAAACGCAGGTATCAGAATCTAACAAATTTCACTAAAGTAGCTTTATCAAATGAATAAGAAACTACAGTACCATTATAAATTAAACCAGTTGATTTTAAAAGAAGGAAGATTAAGAGAATCAAGGCAATGACACACACACACACATACATACATAGTCAATGTAGGAAAGCACTTAAACACAAACCTACTTACCTGATTACATCAATTAGTCCAAAGATTTCTACAAATTAATTTATATATCCCGTGTATGTTTACGAACCTTGAATATTACAGATTTCAGTAAAAATGAGGAAAGGCACTCCGTCTCAACTCAGACAGCTGTTAAAGACAAAAGAGTATCACCAATGACATACCCATGTCACCTACTCCTGCCATCTATGCATATCAGGAAATAACACAAGAATGCAGGGGTGCCAACAGGTGTACTTCGTTCACATAATTCAGCAAACGAATCGTTTATACCTGGCTATATTGTTTTATTCTACAAATTAGTAAAAGCGTTGAGAGGGTACCCCGGTTTTGCATAAATCATTTCACCTTAAGATATGAACTGCTAGCGAGGATACGTTAAAATAGACAAGGCTCACAGGAAACGTTTTAGAATTACGCAGGTTACCGATACTGAAATTTTGAACGAATGTGTAAAATGATTGGCTATATTAGGATGGCAAATTACCTAAGAACTGTACCAAATTTAAACAATCCTAAAATATGCGTATTTTCATAAACTGGGGAAACTGAGAACGTTATTAAGAAAACGGCTCTGACGAGGGAAAGTGGGCAAGGAATTACAGAAGTTCATCAGGAACAAGGAGAGTAACATCTTTTTGTTACGTATAACAAAACGGAAAGACAGGTTATATTTCGAGTGCAGTTTATAGAAGTACGAAGTATAACTAACCATATTTGTTTGTTCCATCATTACTATCGAGGAAACGTGTACGACAATTTTACTTCACCTTCCATGTACTACAGTATTATGTAGGTTCTTTAATCGTTTGTAATTTTAATGTTGTTTGTTGTAAGAAATAATGCCACTGAAGTTCTTTGGCTTGTGAAAACACTATTTCCCACGTAAAAGAAATTGTGATAAAGCAGTTTTGAAAACAGTGTTGGGTCTCCCTCCAATAGGATAGAATTATGAATTAAAGGACAACAATCCCTTTATGGATAAAGGGAATGCAATTTATGGGACAGGGGAAAGAATTAACAAAATAAATTCTGCTAAAATGAGAACCATTCAGACTGGAAAAAAGGAGTTAACAGGAATTCAAGTTGATGAGAAGATGAACTATGTTATGCTTCTTCTGAAGTGTAAATAACGTCAATCATTCTACAAGCAAATAAGATCTGCAGATGGAAGAAAGGAAAAAAGTGCAGTGAACAAATTTGTGTCATTTCAACACAGTGATGTCGTAACAGAACCCAGCGAGTATCTGGATGCTGTTAAAATCCAGATTCAGGGATCGAACAATAACCTGAGTGCTGAGGCAGTGCCCATATCTCGTTCTGCCCTGGCGTCACACAGACCAAGCCTCGCGGCCTCTGAGGCAGATGACGAGGAGTTATTCCAGTATCACATACAGGTGCGTGTTTCAGTACATCTTTGTAGGGCTGCAGTGTATTGATACATAAAGTCATGCATGCAAATGAATCTGTTTACACACAAAGTGTTATTTAATATGTAAAGAATTTCGTTGGCGTACTTGATTTTATATGTGACATACAACAGGTTAATCACCACACGGAAAGAGCATGGATACTGATACATTCCATAAAAGGCTAAATGAACTCCAGGGTCAGTGTGGATGTGAATACAAAAGGAATATTCTCTGCCTCTGCTAGGAGTCAAACCACGGTCTTTAGAGTAGTATGAATGTCAGACTTTTAGCACAACTGTAAAGTGGTATAGGAATTCTGTATATATTGTTAAAGGATTTGGTTCTTATTTCATTTTTAAAAACTGTGTCTTTAAGTTAATACCACATTATAGGCTAGGTGTTTAAATTTTGGGCAAGATGAAGTTGCATGTTACTCACTCATCAAACATTGTAGTGATAGAATGATCAGTGAAACATGTTGTGACATGATTTTGCAGTTAAGCTAACATATATAAATAAAAGTGAGGAACAATATTGTTATTTTCTTATATTCTTGAGGTCTGAAGGTTTTAAACCACCGTCACAGTTGCATGACACGTATAAGGAACTGTGAACTGCAACAAAAGTAGGGCACTTGAGATTTCCTTAAGTCTGAAATTAATTAGTAACATCTTTAAGAACACAAACATATAGAAATACATACTTGCTGAGGAACTCCATTTGCACGTGTTAATAAAAACTGTGATGTCACTGAATACAAAGTTTTCCGTTCCACAGACTTTGGCATGAAGCAGGAACAATTTTTATTGTACATTGTACTCGGGACGTTCACAGGATGTGATTCAGGAGGGACAATTACAGACTGAACTTGGCTGTCTTCTGACCGACTGCAGTGAAAACCTCAAATCTCTCTAAAATTTTATGAAAATTCTGTTTATTGACTGTAAAAGCTGTCCTAATATGTACCATCTAGGAAGATGTGGTATAGAACATACTCATTCGTAACCTAGGCACTAGATAAGGTTGAATTGTCAAAGCCACGTCCCAGATACGGCTTTCCCCCAGAAAAGGACTCTGGTACTCACTGGATATGAGGCTGGTTGAACCCCAGAGCATGTCTGGATTCAGAGACTAGACAAAAAATCCTACGCCATGTTAGGGATCGAAATCGAATGAACAGTGTAGGAATACCCAAGCTTATTTATATATTCCCTTGGTAATTCATTGTTGTCATGAAGAAGTCCAGAATTCCACAATTTCATGAGATGTTTTCAACTACTCTTATAAATTAGAATCAATTAGAATATTTGCTTGCATGCACCAGCTGTACCACTGTCCTTTAATGTTGAGATTACAATTTATTTAATTTATTTAGGTGTAGATTATGTATAACTTGAATTATACACCAACAACTTTGGGGGTACAAAGTTGAAGAGAAATTATATCTGGGGAATTCAAACAAAAAATGTTGAATACCACTGCCCTAGGAAGAGCCGGGATAGCTCAGTCAGTATAGTGACTAGCTACGGGCTGGACGACCGGGGTTCGATCCCCGATGGGGGCAGGATTTTTCCTCTAGCCTCTGCATCTAGACCGGCTCTGGGGCCCACCCAGCCTCCTCTACAATGGGTACCGGGGTCCTTTCCCGGGGGTAAAGCCGGCCGGGGCGTGATGCTGACCACTCACCCCCATCTAGTGCCGAGGTCAAGGAAGAGAGGAGCTATACCTCCTCTCACCCCAAACGCCTACATGGCGTATAGTGGGACAAACTTTACTTTACCACTGCCCTAGGGTGATGCCCCAGTGCTGATCAGTTACAGTTACAAGGACAGTGATGTCAAACATAGGCAGTGCATTCAAAGGGCAGGGCAGGGGCCCTCAAATACAAGATATGGAATTTACCATTCCAGAACCTTTGAACTTTATGTACTATACGACAAAGAATATATATTTCTTTCTTTTTTCTGTCTGGCATTACATTCCGTTATTTATATTATTTCTTTTGTGTGAATCGTTTGTCATTCAATTCTCCATTTAACAGCTTAAAGCTGTCATTATACAATGATCACAGTGACCTTGTATTATGATTCAGTCCCATTTACTTCAACCTTAATTTATTTATTCTTTTACTTCGAAACATCCTTTATAACAATTCAGTCACACTGCATTAGAATGTTACTTGCAATTCTCTGTGAGGTGAAACGAATCAGAAAAAACAATAATCATGTGCCGGGGTTCCACATACTTAACTTTCAAATCAGTGAAATGAACAGAGACAAATCTTACCAAATATTAAAAAATGCACTTAATGTAAAAGATGATCCTAGAGATGTTATAAACTAAAACACTTACACTAATTATGTGCGACTTGAAAATTAAGTGAGGTGAAAATTTGAATTGTACTTTTATGGGTCATGATGCCACATGATCCTGAAACCGGTTACCAAAATTTTTGGGAAACTTATCTGCTTAATCTTCTACCCTGAAGATGGATACAATAGGCTTGTCTGTAAAATCTTAAAAAATCATAAAATGTACACAGAGTCATAATGCAGAAACCCATGATCTTTAATGACGGATTTCAGTAAAATAAATAAGTAAAAATTCAACAAAACTTTACTGCACAACCAAAAAGGAGGCAAAATTACTACTCAAGTCAACTAATGTATATTGCCATGCGTACCGCTATTGTTGACTCTGGTGTTTATTTCTAACTTCTCATTACCCTGTTGACACCTACTTTCATTTAACCGATGTCATCAACTGCGTGTACAGCGTAAGACTTTAATCTTGAGAATTGAGGGGTGAGGAAGTGGGGTGAAGGAGGCAGGAGGAAAGATAGCGTCAGCCTTTAACGCTTCGAACTTCCTGCATTCCTTGCAAGTCTCAAGATTACAGTCGCATACTATAACTTCTAAGGACACTTGACAACACTTGCCCACTAAAATGCTAATACCAAGTTGCAGGAGAACTAACCAATCATGAGAAATCTGTCCATACAGCATATTTAGTCAATATAATTATTAAGAAAACAAAAATAAAAAGGAATAGCATCTACCTCATGTATTGATTATAGGTAAAATAAATCTCACATTATGGCTGGTACATGTTCTTAGTTGAGAAGAGAACCTGTCTTTCTGTATCCACTTAGCTGAATGAATGACAAAGAAAGCCCGGTTAAAGAAATCAAGCATCTGGTCGCACGCATGCGTACAACATCGGAATCCCCACATCTGATGTGGAAATGAGTGGCAGGCCTCCATCAAGCTGCACTATGACCCAGAAAATAATTGTAGAGACATGGGAGATGGGTCAGAAGACCCATGTTTATTGTCATCGTCACTGACAACATTGACTGCAACAGTATTTGATCTTCACCTCATAAAATGTACCAGCAACCTGTCCCATTGATGTACGCAGCTGAAGTCTGAACCTCTGGGCAGCCAGCTTCCTCTTATTGCTAAGTGAGAACACATTTTGAATGTGTACAAATTTGACAAAATGCATGCATAAGCTAACAAACACATACCTCAAACTCTGTGACACAGAGTTCAATGAAGTTAAAGGTGGCTGCACAGGTGATGAGTTACACTGTAGCAGCAAGTCTCTACAACTTTGTATCTGCAGGTAAGAAATATTTCACTGCATTCAGTTATTTATAATGTCCTGTAGGGAAGGTAGTATATAAATAAAGACAGTTTTTCCAAGTCCCAATACCCAGAATATAATTGTGATGAACAAATGTGCTATTTATTTTCTCCAAATACCCGTATAAAGAAAAGTGTCTGTTTCTGATATGAATGAACGTAACGAGATATGTGATCAAGGTGTCATTTTTTTGTAATGCTTCTTTCAGGAATGTTCTGCAGCAAATACCTGGCTGCTGCCTCCTTCTTCAAGAAACCGATCAACTATTTGAAATTTTTAACAATGTATCATGTGCTTTCACAGGGAGGAACTATGGTGCCCACTTAGCACAAGAGTCTTAATATAGGTCATTGGACCACAGCAAGTATGGGGAAAAGCAGCGAGATCTTTCCAAAGAACGGCAAACCAGCCTTCAAGCACCCCCTCCATCGCAGACCGGGTAGCCCTTAGACACTGCAGCATCCAATCATGTTTTGAGAACCTTAGAAAGGCAGAGCTTGACTGTCTATAGACCCAAAGGGTGAATCAGGATCCCCTTGAGACGTCATCAATGGTCTTGCATTTAGAGGCCTGCGTGGTACTAACTGTGATAAAGAGGAAACTAGTCTCCTGGACAACCTACATTGCTTACTCAGGGGACCTGATGCTTCACAAGCCACATCAGCAAAAAGCCCTGGTATGTTCATACCAGTTATGATGTTGTTGAGCAAGTACAACAGAAAATATGTGCTGCTGTACATGCTGGTGAGATGAAAATGTTCTAGTAGCTTATGTCATCGGTTTCACTGCTAAACAGGTGCTTCCTGTTGTCCACTGTGATGCACGCAAGTTATGTCTGACATCAATCAATGTTATCAACCAATGCCTTAATATATTTCAAGGAGTTCAGTGATACAAAACAGTCTCTCACCTATGCCTCTGAGAAGTTGTAGGGACTGTATGTACGTCTGCCGAGGTCAAGGAAGAGAGGAGCTATACCTCCTCTCACCCCAAACGCCTACATGGCGTATAGTGGGACAAACTTTACTTTACCACTGCCCTAGGGTGATGCCCCAGTGCTGATCAGTTACAGTTACAAGGACAGTGATGTCAAACATAGGCAGTGCATTCAAAGGGCAGGGCAGGGGCCCTCAAATACAAGATATGGAATTTACCATTCCAGAACCTTTGAACTTTATGTACTATACGACAAAGAATATATATTTCTTTCTTTTTTCTGTCTGGCATTACATTCCGTTATTTATATTATTTCTTTTGTGTGAATCGTTTGTCATTCAATTCTCCATTTAACAGCTTAAAGCTGTCATTATACAATGATCACAGTGACCTTGTATTATGATTCAGTCCCATTTACTTCAACCTTAATTTATTTATTCTTTTACTTCGAAACATCCTTTATAACAATTCAGTCACACTGCATTAGAATGTTACTTGCAATTCTCTGTGAGGTGAAACGAATCAGAAAAAACAATAATCATGTGCCGGGGTTCCACATACTTAACTTTCAAATCAGTGAAATGAACAGAGACAAATCTTACCAAATATTAAAAAATGCACTTAATGTAAAAGATGATCCTAGAGATGTTATAAACTAAAACACTTACACTAATTATGTGCGACTTGAAAATTAAGTGAGGTGAAAATTTGAATTGTACTTTTATGGGTCATGATGCCACATGATCCTGAAACCGGTTACCAAAATTTTTGGGAAACTTATCTGCTTAATCTTCTACCCTGAAGATGGATACAATAGGCTTGTCTGTAAAATCTTAAAAAATCATAAAATGTACACAGAGTCATAATGCAGAAACCCATGATCTTTAATGACGGATTTCAGTAAAATAAATAAGTAAAAATTCAACAAAACTTTACTGCACAACCAAAAAGGAGGCAAAATTACTACTCAAGTCAACTAATGTATATTGCCATGCGTACCGCTATTGTTGACTCTGGTGTTTATTTCTAACTTCTCATTACCCTGTTGACACCTACTTTCATTTAACCGATGTCATCAACTGCGTGTACAGCGTAAGACTTTAATCTTGAGAATTGAGGGGTGAGGAAGTGGGGTGAAGGAGGCAGGAGGAAAGATAGCGTCAGCCTTTAACGCTTCGAACTTCCTGCATTCCTTGCAAGTCTCAAGATTACAGTCGCATACTATAACTTCTAAGGACACTTGACAACACTTGCCCACTAAAATGCTAATACCAAGTTGCAGGAGAACTAACCAATCATGAGAAATCTGTCCATACAGCATATTTAGTCAATATAATTATTAAGAAAACAAAAATAAAAAGGAATAGCATCTACCTCATGTATTGATTATAGGTAAAATAAATCTCACATTATGGCTGGTACATGTTCTTAGTTGAGAAGAGAACCTGTCTTTCTGTATCCACTTAGCTGAATGAATGACAAAGAAAGCCCGGTTAAAGAAATCAAGCATCTGGTCGCACGCATGCGTACAACATCGGAATCCCCACATCTGATGTGGAAATGAGTGGCAGGCCTCCATCAAGCTGCACTATGACCCAGAAAATAATTGTAGAGACATGGGAGATGGGTCAGAAGACCCATGTTTATTGTCATCGTCACTGACAACATTGACTGCAACAGTATTTGATCTTCACCTCATAAAATGTACCAGCAACCTGTCCCATTGATGTACGCAGCTGAAGTCTGAACCTCTGGGCAGCCAGCTTCCTCTTATTGCTAAGTGAGAACACATTTTGAATGTGTACAAATTTGACAAAATGCATGCATAAGCTAACAAACACATACCTCAAACTCTGTGACACAGAGTTCAATGAAGTTAAAGGTGGCTGCACAGGTGATGAGTTACACTGTAGCAGCAAGTCTCTACAACTTTGTATCTGCAGGTAAGAAATATTTCACTGCATTCAGTTATTTATAATGTCCTGTAGGGAAGGTAGTATATAAATAAAGACAGTTTTTCCAAGTCCCAATACCCAGAATATAATTGTGATGAACAAATGTGCTATTTATTTTCTCCAAATACCCGTATAAAGAAAAGTGTCTGTTTCTGATATGAATGAACGTAACGAGATATGTGATCAAGGTGTCATTTTTTTGTAATGCTTCTTTCAGGAATGTTCTGCAGCAAATACCTGGCTGCTGCCTCCTTCTTCAAGAAACCGATCAACTATTTGAAATTTTTAACAATGTATCATGTGCTTTCACAGGGAGGAACTATGGTGCCCACTTAGCACAAGAGTCTTAATATAGGTCATTGGACCACAGCAAGTATGGGGAAAAGCAGCGAGATCTTTCCAAAGAACGGCAAACCAGCCTTCAAGCACCCCCTCCATCGCCCTTAGACACTGCAGCATCCAATCATGTTTTGAGAACCTTAGAAAGGCAGAGCTTGACTGTCTATAGACCCAAAGGGTGAATCAGGATCCCCTTGAGACGTCATCAATGGTCTTGCATTTAGAGGCCTGCGTGGTACTAACTGTGATAAAGAGGAAACTAGTCTCCTGGACAACCTACATTGCTTACTCAGGGGACCTGATGCTTCACAAGCCACATCAGCAAAAAGCCCTGGTATGTTCATACCAGTTATGATGTTGTTGAGCAAGTACAACAGAAAATATGTGCTGCTGTACATGCTGGTGAGATGAAAATGTTCTAGTAGCTTATGTCATCGGTTTCACTGCTAAACAGGTGCTTCCTGTTGTCCACTGTGATGCACGCAAGTTATGTCTGACATCAATCAATGTTATCAACCAATGCCTTAATATATTTCAAGGAGTTCAGTGATACAAAACAGTCTCTCACCTATGCCTCTGAGAAGTTGTAGGGACTGTATGTACGTCTGTCACTCTTCTGCAGGATATGATGGCAGAGGTCACCTACTTGGGCTGAAATAGCATATCACAGCTGCCATCAAGAACTTGGTTGGTGTTTGAAGAAGTCTGGCAGAGGGTAACAAAGTGAAAGATGAATATTCTGTCACATCAGTATGTCAGTAATAATGTAATGTCTCTTTACTTTTGCCTAGTAACTGAGGTTGCATACAGTAGCTACCTGACCACCCAATGAACAGTTCCGGTGTCCTGAACATATCAACTTTGTTCAGTCACAGGACAGACCATGCCATTTGAAAATGAGTAGTTAGTCATCAGTTATTAAATTGCTGGAAGGATGTGGCATCTATGACAAGCACTTGTAAACCAGCAGTGAAGAAGCTATACTTTTACAGCTACATACCTGTTTTCTTTTCCTAGTTGGCATTTCTGCTACTGTGGCCAAATTAAGTTCTTTTAGTATAAAATGCTTTGCTCTGGGCTTCAAGGAAGATCTAGGATGATTGATGAATTCGAGTTCTGTATAAGCATTTGAAATTACAGGAATTGTGGAGGTTTCTTTCAGTGCACAAGTGCAGACAGCCGGTGGTTGTGTTTGGATTGCAGAGATTTGGGAGGAAGTTAAAGATCTGTCTGCATAGACAGGCACAGGTGTTGCAGTAAAGGACACAGAAACCTTGCTTTTGGTTCTGGTGGGGATATGGACACAAAAGTTACGTTCAGGTAGTGAGGGTAATTAATTCAGAGAACAGATATGTTAGGAAGGTTAGTTTAGGTTGCGGGGTTGAATGTGAAGGTGAATCTGAGCCATGTGCAGCTACTGCTCTCTTCAGGCATGACCTTTCTGAATTGCAGAAATCACTCCCCACAAAATGTTTGCTGCACAGCTGTTAGGTAGAGTTGATACTTCACAGTTGGCCGACCTTTTCTGCCCATGCCTTGGCACTGGAAAAATCAGATTACATTACAAACGTTTGCATAATTTAATATTTTTTGGTAGAAAGTCTGGGTTCAGGAGTTAATCAAAATGAAATAACTTATACTTGTATTCTCTTTGATAATTTGATATCAATGTAATATGAAAATATTCATTATTGCAAGAGATATTAAATAGATGATTTGTGTCTTGCTTTAAAATAAAACTTTAAGGTTGTTCTATTCACGTATGAATATTTTATTGTAAAAGAACAGAATTTAAAATACCTGGACTGTGGTCTTGTGGAGTGTGAGGCTGCGTAGTCCTGTGGATAGTCCATATTCACAGACGTTGAAATAATTGAATGTCTTTATTGCACACATATATTACATAAGTTCAGATCCTCATAAGTTGAGTTATTGCATGTGACAAACCATAACTGAAATCTAATGTTGCAGGACATCAAACATAAAATTAATTTTGAAACTATTATTACGTACAAATAAATTGAAAGAGTTATGGTAACTTGGGATATACAGCCACATTTTGTGAAAAGAGGATTTAACTTCACTAAGGTGAGGTGTATATTTTGTACAGTGAGGTGTTATACTGCTCATCCACCATGTAAGAACATGATTCTTTTCAGAAAGGGGCTTAATAACTACCATGATTACTTTCTATAAGGTGGTGGTCATTGACACATTCAAAATATAATGCAACAATCCAATATGTCTCCTCTGTTTCTTAATTTAAGAACACCATCTCACTGCATAGGTTAAACAGTGATGAATTGGACATAAATAACAAACAGAAGAAGAGGGAAACATTCGTTGCTTATTGTAAGTTAGTATTCCAGAATATGGACCAGGGTAGTGTATTCAGTAAGTTGAACAGCTATGGATTAGACCCCATGGCTGGATTCCTGCCATGGGCAAGAAATTTTGTTTGCACCTCCTTCAATAAGGGTTATTCAACAGCTTCCATTCAGCTGTGTACAAGAAGCTCCTTCCCAGAATTAGAGACACCAGAGCATGATCCTGACCATTCACTTGAAACCAGTGCAGCCATCTACATTGGACGGAGATTCACCTCCATGTTCCCTTTATAACTTCATGGTAAGGTGCTAAAGTAGACGAGCTAATTTCTGCTTTAATTGCTGTACGAATCATTTCATGTCATGTACGCTGATATATGCTATTAGTGTATAAAGCAACACTTCAGTTGCATTCAAAGAAAGTTTTCTCTCACTAATGCCAATAACAGGTGTTAAAGATGAGAAATGAAAATAACAAACACACAAATATTAAGCAACATTTCTGGCCACCATGTATGATAAAATAAGTACTCAGCTGTTGAAGAGGAATATAGAACTACACTTGGGAAATCATTCAAGAAATAATGAAGACAGCCCTCTTAAACTTTTCTGTTTTGAGTACTGTGGTAAAATATATATTTAATTTTCATACCTTAAACTATATATGACAAAGATCATTTACACAAAACTCTATTGACGACAAGTATTTATGGGTTGTTGGAAAGTGCTCTATTCACATCCAGGCTTGTGATGCCATAGGATTCTGTGGGTATCAGGAAAAATCTCAAAATGTTGTTTAGAATTGTTCAAATATGTCATCATGAATGCATATAGTCAGTGGGCTCTGTATGCTGATAATGGTACAGTGACAAACTTCTTTCAAAGTGCATAGGTCATGTAGCAATTATAGGAATTATTAAGATGTGCTCTGGTTTAAAGTATTATAGTATATAACATGAAAATAATGGAAATACAGTTGGAACCCCCACATCAAGTCACAAATACTATCAACTTATTTGTGACATTTTACAGACATGTTTCAGTTCACTTTAGTACCTCACTGAGGCTGCATTCTGTCATTATTGAACAGATGACATATTCACGAACTTAACTTGCTTACAAGTACCTAAATACGTGGACAGGAAACACCCAACAGCTATTTCCAAAATATAGTAAAGAAATGAAATTTCAAAGAAATATGGGAAATGTGTTCATGTAATACATGAATAACTTCTACATAAGAGTATATCCTAATGGAGGCAAAGATTTTACAAGGAAATCATTTGAAAACAGAATGAAATGAAAGTAAAGAAATAACATAAGATTGTAGTCATCAATAATCCCAAAATATGATCTTTTGAGTTAAGCAATACATTGACGTGATGATTAAAGTGTAGCACAAGTTAATAAAATGGAAGAAATAGCCTGGGAAACGAAAATTCAATAACGGTGACAAGTAAAAATTGTAAATTTCATTGTTACAATAACACCCAAGGCCGCCACATAACAGATTCTGGTATACTGACGTTTTATGTGGTAATGTTACTCAGGGCAGTGCATCATTTAAATTAGAATGAATTATAAAGCAGTCCCATTCCGTGGAGCAAAATAAAAAACAGTAGATCAAATAAAACATGTGTGCCAAAGCAACATACAACAACGAATATCAACACCCCCCCCTCATCCCAACGTAAAGGAACAATCATATTACCCATTCGAACATCTGAGGCCCTGAAAAGGGCCGTTTTATTTTCGCAATCAACTTATTTGGAGCTGGTATACTTAGTCACGGCTTTCGTCCCTTCACTTACAGCGTGTTTTGCCAGTTCACCTGGCAACAGAAGTCTCACAGCAGTCTGGATCTCACGACTAGTAATTGTGGACCTCTTGTTGTAATGTGCCAGCCTGGATGCCTCAGCTGCAATGCGCTCGAAAATGTCGTTAACAAAGCTGTTCATGATGCTCATTGCCTTGGAGCTGATGCCAGTATCAGGATGGACCTGCTTCAGCACCTTGTAGATGTAGATTGCGTAACTCTCCTTCCTCTTGCGTTTCTTCTTCTTGTCAGTTTTTGATATGTTCTTCTGTGCCTTTCCTGCTTTCTTAGCAGCTTTCCCAGAGGCTTTAGGCGGCATGTTGAACCAGACAATTGCAGGACAACCAAACAACAGAGAATAAAATTTTTTTTCAACCAACCGTTATTTATTATGTTATTCAATTGTCGCAACCTATCCAACGGGAAGCTCGCTACGGTGTGATTGGTTAGGACAATACTCCGTCAGTCTGATTGGTTAGGACGTTCCTCCGTCATTCACATCAAAATCGAACTTTTCCTGAAATTTTGTATTGTCTGCATTCGGTCGTGCCCAAGCAAAGAGATCACTAAGAATGTCTGGCCGAGGAAAGGGTGGCAAGGTCAAAGGAAAGTCAAAGTCGCGTTCTAGCCGGGCTGGACTTCAGTTCCCAGTGGGTCGTATTCACAGGCTCCTACGCAAGGGAAACTACGCTGAGCGTGTCGGTGCTGGCGCCCCTGTGTATCTGGCGGCTGTGATGGAGTACTTGGCTGCCGAAGTTCTTGAGCTGGCTGGTAATGCAGCCCGTGACAACAAGAAGACCAGGATTATTCCTCGTCATCTGCAACTAGCCATTCGTAACGACGAAGAGTTGAATAAGTTGTTGTCTGGAGTCACTATTGCCCAAGGCGGTGTGTTGCCAAACATTCAGGCTGTTCTTCTTCCTAAGAAAACTGACAAGAAGGCTTAGGTACTGATTTATAAACCGGCCCTTTTAAGGGCCCCATTTTAATCCTGAAAGATTATTTGTTTCCCCGTTTTGATTTGAATTTCTAATGGAATCCGTTTATTGTTGGACCATATCACTCGTTTCATGTATGCTACTGGCACGTTACTCAGCATTTATGCCACTTTATGAACATTGTTACGTGATGTTTGGAAGTGATTGTCTTTGATATAATATTGCTTGAGGTTAACCAATAACAGCAGATGAAGATATTTACTAACTCTGTCATCACTTCCTTAATATTGGCACTGGAGACATGGAAGGAAATGAGCTGGCTTTTTGAAGGCCCACCTCCCTGAGCTGCTCCAGCAGGTCAGGAAGTAACTAATAGATGCAATCACCGCAGAGAAGAAGAGGCAGCGGGCAGCAGCCGTGGCTGGAGGGCCGGCAAGAGGAAGGCCAACGAGTTGGACAAGTCCAACTCGGGCGGTTCGAGATTGTGATTGATAGAGAGTTGTCCACGAATAGTTGTTCACGGATAGTTATCCACGGAGAGTTTCTCAGCGCTCGGCGAGACATGGAAGGAGGTGAGCTGGCCTTTTTGAAGGCCCACCTCCCTGAGCTGCTCCAGCAGGTCCGGAAGCAGCTTCTGGACGCCATCGAAGCGGAATAGCAGAGACAACGGGCAGCAGCAGCAGCAGTAGTAACTACAGCTGCAACAGCCGTGGTCGGAGGGCCTACTCGAGCCAACGCTGGCAATAGGAAAGCCAACGAGTTGGACTTGTCCAACTCGGGCGGTTCGTCGGAACCCGCATCCAGGCTCCCGGGCCACTGTCCGGAGCCGGGTCCCCTCCTCTGCCGGCACCGGCAAAAGTTCATCGGCTCGATGGCCAGGCGGTAGCAGCAACCACCTCGCGTGGCCGGCAACTTGGCAGCTATGCCGAGGTCAGCGCGGCGTACACCGGGGTAGTGGCCGGGCGACCGGTTAAAGGGGGGACTGCTGGGGTGGATTCCTCGGCACCGCTCCCCACTAAAGCCGGGGCCTCGCAAGAGGTTAAAGGAGTGAGGGACGTGAAGTCGTCCCGCAGACCTCACCCCGCCGCGCTGAAACCGCCAAGCGGGACAGTGAAGCCCGCAGCCAAGGGACCCGCTACCTCGATGGAGGAGGCGCAGGGCTTCCGGGGACCTGTCCGGGCCGCACACTGGCATGTCATTTGACTCTCTGGGGTGAAGGACGTACGCGGCTTCCTGCATAGGATTCGCGCGGAGTCGGCCTGCGGGATCGTGGCGCAGATGAAGGGAGAAAACCTGACTCTTGTGCCTGAGACCGCCGACGGGTTCCGGGCCACCGTCAGGGTCCTGCGGTCCCTCGGTGAGGGCGAGGGTGTGAGTTTTCACACATTCTCCCTCCCCGAGGATCGGTGCGTGCGCCTGGTGATTAAAAACATGGGCTTGCGCATGCCCGAGGCCGAGGTACGCGAGGAGCTGGCCGCCATGCACATTGCTGTGCAGGG